CACACACACACACACACACACACACACACACACACACACACAGAGAGAGAGAGAGAGAGAGAGAGAGAGAGAGAGAGAGAGAGAGAGAGGTGGTGATTTCTGGCTCTGAGGGCGTGTCCAATTTTGTGTGGTTCTGCTGCGTTCTGCCACAGGTCTCAACCGTTATTGATAGTGAACCCGTCGAACACGGAGGAAATGAATGGCTCCGTGGACGTGTTTGACGCGATGGTAGCCGCGTCGCCTCCTCGCTCCAGCCTGGGAAGTTTTGGGGCTGACCTCTATGGAGAAAACGCAATGGCGGCGCAGTATCGGGCTTGGAAGGTGCGTGTGCTTCGGTCTCATGCTGACATTGCTGAGTCGCTGACCCACAAATACATCTCAAACTATAACAATCCCTCTGTCATTTGTCATTTTTTGCTCCCCTTCTTTTTATGCACCCCCGGTCGGAGAAACGAAGGACTTGCGACGTCCCTCCGGGACCCCCTCTCTTATTTCTCTGAATACCCTTCTTGATCTCTGGTCTTCTCACACGTAGCCTGACGTAATAGGATGCTCGTTTGACAGACACTTCTCTGGCGACGTCCTCGGCCAACGAACAATACGTATGCTGCTACTATGGCAACTTCCGCACCCTTTTTTTCTTTTTCTTTTTTTCTTTTTTGGCACCTTTTTTTTTTTTTTTTTTTTTTGCACCTTTTTTTTTGGGGGGCAAGTTTTGTTGCAAGTTGTTTGGGTTGGTGTTGGTGTTGGATGGCAGAGGTGTCGTCACTGTCATTTTCCCTCAGGGCCTCGAGAGTCTGTCTTTCCCCCTTTTTCTCAGAAAAACCTCGACCTTCCCCCCCACCCTCCCTTGAATCCCTCCTCTCTGCTGCGCCTTTAGTGAAGTACCAAAAGTTTCACCCCCGGACGTGATGTCGTTGTCTGAATAACTGGTACGTCAACTTCAAATTGCAATGGGCGGATGTTTACGTTTCGTCTCCTTTAACCCCTCACGCTGAAGTAAGTGTCAAACTGGTTTGGACCCCACTTTCCTCTCCATTTATGTGAAATTATCCTTCCCCCCCCCCCCCCCCCCCCCCCCCCCCCCCCCCCCCCCCCCCCCTGACTGGAAAAAGGCTGCAATGGCCATCGACAATCACCATCCTTCCGAGCGTCAATTGCAGACAAGGGAACGCACTACAATGCCTTCTGTTCCGTTCCCTCACAACTTACACAACCCCCTGTAAGCTATACTACTTTACTTGAAGTCTTGAAGTCTTGAACTAAAAAAAAAGAAGAATACCTTTGGGTCCCATAATCTCCCATTGTGCCAATTGAGAACCCATCTCTTCGAGTTAATACCCTTTTTCTTCTCTAAGGTCTTCTACTCCGAGTCTATCCCTTTTTTGGGAATGTGTTCAAATCCGCTTTCTTCTACTGTCTGCGTTTTAACTCTTGAGTTTGCATGGAGACCTCGATGCAAATTGATTCTCCCACTGATTCGCCGTTGGAAGCATCATGTGTATGGCCACTGCTTTAAAATTCCTTTCTGTATTCTCTTCCTCTCTGTTCTGTTTTTCCCTCCGATGTCCTCGGGATTTCATGAACGATCCTTCAATTTTTTTTTATTATTTTTTTTAGATTCTATCATGTATGAAGCTGTGATGTCCTCTTTGGAACTGGTGCAGTAACTGCAGTTAATTTCGGAGGGCAGCTGTATGCTATTTTCCGTTAGGTTTATAACTGGTGCAGTAACTGCAGTTAATTTCGCACT